AAAAAGCTAATGACCTTTTAGCACTCACACGTATGGATGTTTGTAGGCCATTGAGTTCAAAAGGCTAATAGTGGGTTTAGCTACTTCATCAATTTTACTAACAATTTAAGTAGATATGGTAATGTCTACTTAATGAAGCAAAAGTCGGAATCCTTTGAAAAGTTCAAGGAATTCCATAATGAAGTTCAGATCCAACTTGGCAAGACAATTAAAGCACTACGGTCTGATTGTGGTGAAGAGTATTTGAGCTAAGAATTCAATGATCATCTAAGGGATTCTGGAATTCTTTCACAATTGACTCCTCCTAGAACACCACAATCAAACAGGGTATCGAACATTGCTAGATATGGTTCAATCCATGATGAGCTTTACAGATCTTCATATATCGTTCTGGTGATATGCTTTAGAAACAGCTGCAAATACACTAACAGATGCCCGTCCTGTAGAAGATAAACTAAGGAAACAAAAGGGTATTACTTCTACAATCGCGAAGAAAAAAAAAAGTGTTTGTTGCTCGCGATGGTGTCTTTTTAGAAAAGGAATTTCTTTCTAAAAAGCCAAGTGGGAGTAAAGTGGTTCTCGAAAAGATTTGAGACGAGCAAAAAATGGATGTGGATAACACCACATCAAAGAGGAGGGCACATGAGTCAACTCGAATGACAAATCATGTGTCGGAGCAAGCTGATTCAACTAGCGAAACTCCTATCATCCCACTTGAATCTAATTCATGCGAAAATCTTCAAAGAGTTGAAGAGTATATCTGTTATTGCTCCAACCCCACGTATGTCAGTGAGCATCATAAACAAATTATCAAAATCGGAAACAAATTATCAAATCAGACACAAATTGACTTAAGGAATTTGAATATTGCACACTTGTCTCAAATAAGTGGGAGATCGAAGGTTTTATATCTTCGTCATGTGTAATTACTAGATATATAATGGACCAAATTATGCAGATAATTAAGTTTGTTCTTTTGGGTAGTTGTTATATCATAGCTAGAGATAATAACGATCTATGGGCTAGTAAAATAGGCCAAAGCCCAATTAAACGGATCCTATAAGGTCACATAAATGACCTAGATTGAACATAATTCCCTCTAGGTGGCCGGCCATATGGAGGATTTTGAGTGGGCTTAGGTTTCCTACTTGTCTAGGTACAATGAGAATATAAATAGACAAAGTGCTTAGGTTTTGAGATAACAGTTGATGTGATCAACAAACCCGAGTTAGCAAACACGAAACCCAACCCCTCTCTCTCTCCCCCTGACTCATTCGTCCGTTGCCTGTGCTAGTGGTGTGTGTATGGTGGTGGTGGTCGATTGCGCGCAAAGGTGGTGATCGTGGTGTTTTCCTCAATCATCCGACCAATATAGCATTGGTGGACGTTCGATTGAATCCCATGGACTAAATAGAGGAACAACACTTGGGACTCTATTCTCTCCATGATTTATAGTCAATCGCAACGTGGAATCACGCTTCAACGGTATCATTATATGAATTTTATGTGTTATGCATGTGATCTTGTTTTAGGTGCGTATAAATATGATTCATGAAATTCTGCTTAGAGTACCCAAATCCCTACAAAGGTAAGGTTACATTTTCCCCAAATCTTTCTGACATTAGAGGAAATTGGTTTATTAAAGAGGGAGGGAAAATGATTCCCGGCATTTCCCTTCCATTCCCTCCTACCACATGGTATACAAACAAGGGAGGATGGATCCCTCTTTTCTCTTCTCTTCTTTTCCCTCGAGTTTTTCAACAAAGCATAAGTGACCTTAAAGCTGAAAAAAATAATTGACACTTTTTAACGGCCGCTACAATTATAAAACGGTTATAGAACGCTGTTGTACCGTTACGTAACAGCCGTCGCTGTGAGTTGGGTGTGATTTTTAATCCCTGTTATATAGCAGCTTTTCTTGGATCAATAAGTCCCAAACCCGTTACATAACGACCGTTATAGAGCAAACTGAACGAGTTTTAATTCCATGATCCTTTATTTGCTAGTTGCTAAAAATATGTTTGGTAGCTATTAGGAATATGCTGATATACTCTAAGAAATTACATCATTGCCCTTAATAACATTTTCCTCCTTTCTCTTCCCTTTTCTCATTAATGGCAATTAGATCATTTCATACCCCTCTTAATTCCCATCCCCAATTACTAGCCTCTCCTAAGTATTAGAAATGTTGGAATTGAGTGGGAGTTTATAACCAATTCCCTTAAAACAAATAACGGAATTAATCATGTTTGTATATAAATTCCCATTCCCACCTTAAACTCACATACCAGAACTCTTAATAAATGGTAATAATGAAAAAATAGGATAGAATAAGTTATGTTGGTATATAAATTCTTATTCCCACTTTCTTAATCTCGGATATCAAACACTCCAGAAGAACTTTGAGAACCCTTAATATAAGGAAGTAATGAACAAATTTAGAATAGAATATTCATTTTACAACTACATCTACAAAGCTCTCATTTAAAAGCTCCTAAAATCAGGATTTTCAACTTAGCTTATTAACCTCAAATAACTCTTCTAATTCCATTCTCAACGATTTAGAGTTTTGGTATTTTCAAAGCTCTCAATTTACCTCAACCATATGTCTTTGCCACAATTCTCTCTCAACCAAACACCTCTATTGTCAAATACTATCTTTTATTTATCACCTTTTGTGATTCACTATCTTGTGAAAAATTAAAGTTCTAATATCGTTAAAAATTCTAAAATTTAAATATTGCCAAGAATATGACAAGTTAGGCAACTTGTCGGCTCTCTCTCTCTCTCTATCTCTCTCTCTCTCTCTCTCTCTCTCTCTCTCTCTCTCTCTCTCTCTCTCTCTCATGTAATTTCTCTTTTACTGCCCACACATTTAATCAATACAAAGTTAAATAATGAAACCTCACATTTGGGGAATTTTCTTGATTTGTGGAAATCCTCAGATTATGTATGAGCCCTAATTGTGAATTTTGCCCAATCAAGAAGACTAACCAATGTTAACTAAACCCTAATAACATAGAATAATATATAAGTGCAATTATTACTACAAATTGGGAGTATTTTAAAAACAGGATCACTTGTAAAAGTCCTCATTTTAGGCGAGAACTCTAATTGAATAGCCAATAAGACAAAATTTGTTTTTTTGATGAAAACGAATGGCTCAAATTATATCCACAAAACATTCCTATCCTAATTGAAATGTCAATGGAATTATGGAAGAGTTAGAATTAGAAGAGTTTGCACTTTGAAGATTCAAGGGGGATATATATAATTACACAAAAAAAGAAAAAAAAACATAACTCATAACCTATAGTGTAAATAAAAGATCATTCCAGGAAGAAGATAAAGAAAAGATCATCAGACAAATATCTTTGTCTCTCCAAAGTACAGACAATTGTCCTAGGTGATTTAACTCTATAGTATAAATCATGATGCTAGGAATAGATACCGAGAGCATTCCAATTTTCAGAGATACAACAAAGTACACCTTTATTGACTGTTGTTACACAAGGCAATCCCTCCACTTAGAGAGTAGCAGGCTTGCAGTTCTGCACTCTCAGGTGTGCTTAAAAGATGGTGCAGCAAAAGGCTAATCAATGGCAGTGAAAAATAATGGTGGGCGGTGGTGTGGTGGCCTAGGCTAGTCCATATATTTTTAGCCCAAACTTTGATTTTGATCAGTCAATGGTTTTGATCAGTAAAGAAAGCAATCTCATGCCAGAGTACACATTTAATAAATTAATTTTTTTCATAATTAAGAAAACCAATTCCATATAAATTTTAACCAACTCAAGAGAATGCATACGAGATTGAGATCAATGTTGTAATTGTCTAACTAGCAAAAGTTTGAGGGTACTGTTGCATGATTATCTAAGCTATAGTTTGGTGTTCTAGGGGCTGCTTGCAACATTCTAAGAGGATATTTGGGTGAAAATAGCTGAGACTATTTTAAATTTTAAATTTTAACCAATTCCATATAAATTTTAACCAACTCAAGAGAATGCATACTTAGCTACTAGTTTTGCAACAAGGATCGCTTATAAGAAAGAGTTTAATGATACTATCCTTGAATATGATAATTTCATAATATGTTCACCTTAAACAAGCATTTTAATAACAGATCAGCACCTGAATCATCCTAAATAAAACTTAGATCTAGTATAAAAAAGGTCCCCTATATATTGACAGTCTTGTATCAACTGAACCTATTTCATGAAAAACCTTATTCCCTTTGTTTTATACATGGCTTCTAGCCATCATATACATAGGCTTCATATTTTCAGTTTATTATTAGACCAACCAGATTAGAAAGAAGAAAAATCGTGTGCAATAAAGCAAAGATAAAATCTGTGTAGGATATCTAATACTACGTACTACATAGAAGTTTGGCTTAAAATAGCTAGTACACAAACTACAATAGTTAAGTCATACAAATGTGCATTCAGCTTTTATCATCACAGTCATAAGGTAGATGTAGTGCAAACAACTTTGCTCCAGTAACTAATAAAGTCGTAATTATTCAAAAGAGTATAATTGGATAGCATAACAATACCTAAATTTTCCTAGAGTTTCTCTCAATGAATGAAACAATAATCATATAATAACAACCACAAATTTTCATGCCTTCAAAGTAAAACTCCAATTTTCTAATCAAATGGCAGGTCCAAGATGACCATACCTAATATTGCTACTAAATCAATCACTAGAAATAAAAGCATTTAAATAACACCTCACCATAAAAATAGCAACAGCATCGTATTCAATCAGATGACACCGAACTTCTAACTAAAGCAATGATCGGACAAACACGAGAGCAACCAATACACATAAGAAAGCAACATCAAAGCAAATAGGCCGACACATGAATAGAAACCACAACAAATTAGTCAAGCAATTTAGTCATGCTCCATTTAACAAAATCATGTTCAGAGATATAATGTAAGCTAATAGAAAAGAAAAGAAAAAATTAATTTTCCAAAAGAGGGATAAACTAGAACCTGCAAGCTTACTGATGAGCGCTTGTAACGACGTCGGGCAGGAGTACATAGCATAGCCAGCAACTTCACCATTAACATAAGCATATAGCAATCCAGCATTCTTTTTACTAAGTTCATCATCGAACGACCTCGATAATGACTCGTGTTTAGGGAATATCTTCTTCTCCATTTTCACCACTTCCTCCACCATTTTTGAGTAATTGGGTGATTTCCTATTCAACTCTGTAATCACCCCTTCGGCTAACATTGCCATCTTTCAGTTTTATTGATATAACTGACAAAATAATTATACTTTCAAAGCATGAGTTATTAACATTAACAATTTAAAAAAAAAAAATCATTTTTACACAATCAAAATTCGGAAAAAAAATAAATCAAATTGGAGCATTCAGACATGCCAAAGCTAATGAATTGGCTCAAAATTTATCATAATTGAGAAACCTTTAATAGAAATGGGACTTAAAAGCGAAATTACGAATTCAAACAAAACTAGCAGACAATTATTGTAATAAAAAAAATCCGGAAATGCAAAAGGCGAAAAAAAAAAAAAAAAACTCATGAATTAAATTTATATTACTTCGTATTCTTTAACAAAATGGAAGAACCGATGAAATAATTTCTGGAAACAATTAATAAGTAAGAAATTAGTACGTAGGAGATGAAAAGAGAGAGGGAGAACCTGAATTAGCCCGGAGTCCGGTGGAGATGGAAAAACCGCTAGTTGAAATAGTAGTCAAAAAGTTTTGACTTTCGAGATGAATACAAGGAGGAAATTCATGTTTATCAGCCTGATATACCAAGTTGGTAAATCAGGGGTAAGATAGTCATTTATCCTTTAATATGTGGGTAACTTCGTAATTTTAGTACTTTCTTCCTGCATTCCTCACAATCCCAGATCTCCTTCGTCCCGTCTTCCTCCATCTCCATTCTTCCAATGGCAGATTTCCGGCTTTCTCGATTTTCGCAACCTCCGTTCTTCCAATCGTCCTAATCCCAAATCAACGTCCTCGTCTTCCTCCATCCCCCATTGTTGAGGTTTTTAATGGTGCAATCTCCTTCCATTCTCGCAAATTTAAAGCTTAATTTTACTCCATTTTTGCAAATCTCAAGCTTAATCGTCTTCCATTCTTCTACGAGAACACCAACCATTTTAGGGTTAACCATTCCCTTTCTTTCTCTATTTTTTCTTAGGGTTTTCTTTTAAATTCGGCGGCGAAGCCGCTGGAATATAAAATGCCCGTGGTGGAAATAGTTGTGGAATGAGGAAGCTTCGTGGTTGGAATGGTTGATGATGCAGTGTGATAGATGATTTATTTTATTTTTATTTTCATTTTCTTAAACAAAGTTGCAATAAATTACCAATGTTGCCACCTGATATACAAAAACATGTATATCCGGCTAATTTAATGGGGGCTTCCTCGAATACACATAGGTTTAAGAGTTTCATCACCAAAATTTATCAATAACTAGTTTTTGACTCGAACAATGACCCGATTCATTATTTTACCGTACTAAAAAAATATCAATTGTTTATTTTTGTATATATTATTGACTATCAAAATAAATTATTTTATTTACAATAACCTAAATTTTATATATGTTTAATATATGAAAAATGGAAACTAATAATCCCACATTTACTCCGTCTTCTAAAACATCCCACATTTCAATTATTCGAAAACAATCCCACCTTTGATAGGGATTTTCCTTTAACGATCCCTAACCGGTTGGATTATTTTGGTAACCGTTTTCCTTAGGTTATAAGACATGTGTTGATTTTTAATAGGTTTATTCCATTTTTAAATTAATAAAAAAAATTAATTAAAAAAAAAAACTGAAACCCCAGCCACCTGAATGAGTGAACGACCCCCCTTCCCCTCCCCATCCCTCGCCCCTGCCTTCCCCAGCAACCCAACCGGCGTAGTAATAATAAGCCTGACAACAATTCTAGAACTATCGAAACCCCCAGCCACTAGAATGGTGCATTCATCACAGTAATCGCCGAGTTGACTCGACAGAACATGAGAAAGTAGGACTAAGCAAAACTATTTGAAGATCCGAAAATCCGACGATCCGATCCGCATCCGATCTGAAAATTATGGATATCCGATCCGATTTTGATTTCGGATCGGATATCCGATCTGGATAAATCGGATATCAAAATTTTGAATTTCGGATATCCGATATCCGAAAAAGTCGAATATCGAATATCCGATCCAATATCTGAAAAATCACGTAATTTTCCTTTTTTATTTCTTGAATATTCTACCTTTCAGCCTTCTTAGATTTCAGGAAAAAAAAAAAAAAAGGTTTGCGAATGAAACCCTAAACAGAAACCCAATATTCATTCACTAGATGAAAGCCCGTGCGATGCACAATTTCTCATACATATATCTCAAGAAAAGATATTTTCCTATATACTCTAAGGTTTTTTTTTTATAATATGAAAATATTAAATATTTTACCAATAAATAATAATAAAATTAAAATAGGTTTAGTTTAAATAAGTTTAAATGTATATTTTTTTAATTGTGAAATTTTATTAATCTATTAGGATTAATAAGCGATGCACGGTTTGTTTGTATTTTTTCAAACAAAATAGTTTACTAAATTATAGTTATCCGATAAATTTTGTGATATTCACTTGTTTACTACTTGAATTTTTTACTATAAAATGAATTATTAATTTTGTTTTTCATATTTAGATAAAAATTCCTAATATAAAAAGATAATATTTTATTTCACAAAGTTTCACATATAACTGGTCACACCGTGTGGTTGGGATTATTTGGCCAGGGTTACTCGGTTGGTCAAGGGTTACTTAATCGATCAGGGGTTACTCGCACGATCAAGGCTACTCGGTTAGTGTTTTGGTGTGTCTCAGCCGCCACACGGTATGGCCAGCCACACAGTAAACGCGTTGATTTTATTTTTATAATTAATATAAAATTTTAGATCTAAAATAAATTGCAATTCTTTTTTTCATTGGCTAAAATATAACATTTTCCTATGTGACGCTCTGATAAATTTTTATTTATTATTATATACATAGCGCTTTAAAAAAACTAATCTTACGTGGCATAAATCCTATTGTAGCGTTTTAAAAATATTAATCCTACATGGCATTTTTTTATTATAATCCTACGTAGCGCTTTAAAAAAAACTAATCTTACGTGGCATAATCCGATTGCAGTGTTTTAAAAATAATAATCCTGCGTGGCGCTTTAATAATTTTTTAAAAATTAAAATCCTACGTGGCGCTCTAAAAACTCGAGAAAAAACTCCCCTTTATATAATCCTACGTAGAGCCTTAAAAAACTAATCTTACGTGGCATAATCCGATTGTTGCGTTTTAAAAATATTAATCCTGCATGGCGCTCTAATAATTTTTTAAAAATTAAAATCCTACGTGGCGCTCTAAAAACTCGGGAAAAAACTCCCCTTTATGATGTGTCAACTTATAATGGTAGGTATCACAAATTTTAATTTAATTACAATTAATGAACAATTTGTATTTCTTATCAATTCAAATTTTAATAGTTGAACAATTTGATTTGATTTTATTTTAGGTTAGGTTCTCTATTCTATCTTCTGAGTTATTGCATCTCTCGAATCTTGACTTAACCATTTATAAATTAACCTGCCTATTGAAACTAAGCCTAAACATCAATTCTCATCTCTCGAATCTCGAATCAATATTGCATAACTCATACAATTAAACCAGCGCTAATCTAATTGCATAGCAGTGAATCAATCAATAGGAAATCAACCAAAACATTAACAATCAACAATAATAAATTACCCTTTCATATTATTTATGGATCCCCACAAACCCTAGAATTAAACTACTCACACATAATTAAATCTCCACTAATCAAAGCAATATAGCAAGACATAATTAAATCAAAGCGATTAAATTACTGAAAGTAAAGAGGGAAGAAATCGTTACCAAAATTAAAGGAAATAATGAATTGTATAAATCAAGGAGTGTAGAGAGAATAAAAGTATCAAGAACAAGCTTAAACAAAATCTGGAATTAAATCTAGGGAGAAAAGACGTAATCGTCAATGTGTAAAAAACGTCAAACAATCTTTGGCAACAAAAAGTATTTATACTAACTAATAATCTTAATTAAAGAAAAAGATAAAATAATTAAAAATCCTAAAAAAACACGCGCCCGGTCGGACGAGGGCTCGCCCTGCTGGGCGGGCCTCCGGGCGATCTCCCGGGCAGACTTGGACTTCTTCAATTGGGCTGTTTCTTAGCCCAATTTGCATTTCCTCTTTGGGTTCTAAATACATGGTCCATTGCCCCAGACTCTTCTTCTTCGCCGAGCCCTTAATCACCGCTTTGATGACTCCTACCGGTCCTAGGCCTCGGAATGTGGTCATATAAATGCGGTCTTACTCCAATGCTCGTAGTGGCTCTAATATATCCAGGAAAATGCTCCAAATCTGCAATTTCCTATAAAACAATACAAAATCTACGAAAACACTAGAAACGCATATTAGTAACAAAAGTAGCTCCATAGAGCTCAAATAAACACAATTATGACCATGGAGACGGGGAATAAATATATATATAAAATAAATTTATCATGTACCACAACATCTCGTATGTTGCTGTAAATTTCGCACCTAAAATATTAAAATTTGAATTGATAAGAAATACAAATTGTTTTATTATAAGAAATACAAATTATTAGAACACCAACATAAGAAATATGATAATTTTCCATCTTAAAAAAAAATAATAAAAATTCAAATTAGCTTATTAGCTATATGAATTCATATACGCAAGTGGAAATGTGAAAGTCTTATCTCATGTTGTAGAATTTATCATAACAAAATTAAAAGGATGATGACTAACTTTGAAAATTTCTCAAGTTTATCTTTTATTAATAAGATTATGATATAAAAAATATAAATAAGTATCATGTTGTAGAATTTATCATAACAAAATTAAAAAGATGAAGACTAACTATTGTAAATTTCTCAAGTTTATCTTATATTCAATAAGATTATGATATAAAAAATATAATCTTGTTGGAGTTATTATTATTATTTTTTTAATCTTGTATTATAATTTATGATTTTTTTTGGAGTAATTCTCTTGGTTAATATGTTGTATAAGTTAATCTTATATAATGAGATAGTGATTTGTATTTTTTTTTTTCGGCACAAAATCATACGTTTTAATATGATAGTGAAATGTAAGCTATAGTTAGTCCTGATTCCTGAACACAATTTAGTGGGCCTAAGTGTTAGCAATTGATAAAATATTGTAAATTTATATATTGCAGGTTTTGGGTGTTCTAATGTTGAATTTTTTCCATTATGTAAAATCTTTGTTGTGAAATGATAAATTTTTAATAATTTAAATCCTAAATCATTATTCATTGTTTTACCATATCTTTTATTTCGATAGAATCACCAACCTCGTCCACAACCAACCTACTACATCAATGGATAAATTGAACCGTGAAATGTTAGCCAAACTGAAATTGATATAAATTAAATCTTTACATTTATATAAAATAAATCAATATATTTACCAATAAATGAAAAATTGTTGCAATATAAAATCAAATCTATGCATCGGAATTTTTTCTTATCAATTAATTTATTCAAAATTGATAATTATTGGTGTTCTAATTATTTTGGAGATTGATAGAATCCTTGTGAAATTCGGGAAGTCATTAGCTTTTAATTAAATTGTTTTAATTCAATACTACGAGTATAATAATGGCACCAAAAATACAAATCTTAATCCAATAATTGATAAAAGAATTTGTAGAACAATTTAATCTTTTAACTATTGTTAAAAAGCATTTTAAAAACCTTTTCATAAGTATGAGTCTAAAAAAGAGTACTTGCATCCTATCCTATTAGTTGCTTAGCTTCTTTATCAAAAACTACAAATATTGTTGACCTACTATGATCGATAACACTAAGCTCCAATCGATATCTAATTGAGAAAAAAAAATAATGCATGAAGAAATTAGGAATTATATAATTTATTATTCTTTTAATCTATTATTGTAATATGGATAAAGAAGAAATTTGAAACAAACCTTGGGATGGGCCTTTCAATTTGTTTCTCACAAGGAATGCACCAAAAATCTGTTTTTCTTGGAGTGATACGTCTTTTACATGCTGGGCATGAGGTATAATACCAACTATTTTCACTCATTATTGTATCCACTTTAGCCATGCAATAGAAGATCAAATCCTATATGATTTTAAAAATAAAATTAGGTTTGAATTTAAGATTTATCGTACTTCGTATTAAGTATAATAAAGTGATGTATTAAAATACCTTTTCTAAAGTTTTTTGTACATGATTCATAAGCGTTAAAATATCAACTTTTTTAGAGTTGATTTCTTCCGGTCTAATATTGATATGCTGAATTTCAAGTTTTTCAATGGTAGCATTATCTAACTTCTCACTGCATTATAATGATCATATATAAGAGATATATTTATGTAAAAAGAATAGCATAAAAATTAAAATTATTGAAATAA